CCCAAATACCCCATTTCATTGTGATAAGGCAAGAGGCCACGTTAGTGTTCAACTTATAGAAGCCCATATGTGGTAGTTGCCACTTTAGGTATAAGTTTTTTGTTGTTTTAACAGGCCTGAATGTGGTTGTCACATGGTGGTATTCCACAGCCTTTGCAATTGTTTGGTGCACATTAATCTGATTTCTTTTCTTATCAAAGACATTAGAATTCCTAGTGAAGCAGATGACCTAGAGGCAGAAGGGCAGTAGTTGTTTCCATTTGATGCAAGCATTGTATTCCAAATTTTGGAGCATATTCCATGTGTCTCCTAGTTTGTCATTGAAAAGGGATTGACTCTAAGGTTAGGCTTATAGTTGCACCGGTTCAGTAATTGCTGCCAGAACCCTTTGACATTAGCACATTCAAAGAGAATGTGGTTTATGTCTTCTATGGCGTGATCACAAAAGTAGCAGTTAGGATTAATTCTCAGCCCTATGTGGTTTAAATAATTCCCTGTAGGCAGCATGTTTTGTTGCATGAGCCATATAAAGAACTTAATCTTATTAGGGGTCTTAAGCTTCCAAATCTAGCTGAATTGGTCTTCATTAGAAGTGTCATTGTGCATCAAGGAAGTAGTAGACTAATTTGGTACTATCCTCGGCCGAGGTGTAGTTGGGAATGAAAGTGATTACCATGTTGATGTCAAAGGGAATTGGATAGGGGATGTTGTTGAAGTCCCAGTCCCCATTGGAGTACACTTCATTTATCCGTGTGGTCATATCATTTTGGTACCATGGACCATTTAGGATTTTATCCATTGGCTGCATGTTGGGAAGCCAAGTGTTAGTAAGGAATCTAACCCTACCCCCTTTGTGGACCACCCATCTAGTGCAATTGGTGCATATCTTCCATCCCTTCTGAACATTTTTCCAAGTCCTAGTCTTAGACTTAACCCTGTTCCCTCTTCCATTGCAGCGCTTTTCCATGAGTACCCTAGCCCTAATGGATATTATTGTAGAGTTTCCAAGCATGATTGTGTGGCATGTTATGTTCTTTTGGTGGGCCTGCTGGAGGCCCATTCCTCCCATGTTCTTAAGTTTGGTGATAGTGGCCCATTTAACCATGTGAAGCTTCCTTTTAGTCGGAGTTGTAACCCAAATAAAATTCCTTTGTTTTTTGTCAATTTGGTTGGTAATTTGGGAGGGTAACTAGATGTACTGCATTACATGGTTTGGAATGCTACTAAGGCAAGATTTTGCTAGATTGTTCAACCATCCATGTTCAGGAACTTTGTTTTTCACCCTGCCATTCTACTGTTGAGGTCATCTATGATGAATTGGAAGTTACTTTTTGTCGGCTTTCTTGTGAAGATGGGAAAACCCAAGTATTTCCCAAAGTCTCTAGCATTTTTTATGCCTAAAATGTCATTGCATGTTGTGGCACACTACTCTTGGCAGTTTGAAGAAAAAAACACCTTAGATTTCTGGAGATTGACTTTCTGCCCAGATGCAGTATTAAAATTGCCCAATATGGATAAGATTGTCTCACAGTTTCTCCTATTGGATCTGGCAAACATAGTGAGGTCATCAGCAAATAACAGGTGAGAGATTCTAGGTCATCCCTTGTTGATGTTGATAGGGAACCAGTCCTTGTGAGTTACAGGATTGTCAATATTTTTGGAAAGCCTTTCCATGAATATGATAAACAAGTGGAGTGACACAGGATCTCCCTGCCTAATGCCTTTACTGGGTTTGAATTAGGCAGCCTGGGTACCATTGACAAGGATGGAGATGGAGCTTGTTGTAAGCCAGGACATGATTAGGGTTGTTAGTTTAGAGGGGAAGTTGAAGAAGAGAAGGGGTTCTCTGATGAAAGACCATTCCAACCTATCAAAAGCCTTCTCTAAGTCTACTTTTAGGATCATATTGGCATTCTTACCTTTCATATTTTGGAAGAAGGTAATGTACTCTTAGACCACAATGGCATTACCAACAGCTCTTCTATTGGCTAAACAACTAGCTTGAGTAGGGGCAATGATGTTCTGAAGCAAAGGTTTGATTCTGTTGACAATAATCTTGGTGATCAGTTTGTGCATTATGTTGCACAAACCAATAGGCCTGAAGTTTTTCAGCATTGTGGCATTCTGGCATTTTGGGATGAGGCAGAGGTTGGTTTTGTTTATTTCATGAGGGATGATACAAGTGGAAAAGATAGTGTGTAGAATTGGATTACATTCCCAGAAACTAGAATTGGATTACATTCCCAGAAACTATGTGCTAGTACTTCTGGAAGAAAAAAGGGTGAAGACCATCAGGCCTAGGAGAATAATGCACACTTGATCTCAGAGAGCCTAAAGGTGGAATCAATGATACTCTGCTCCCCGGTAGACAGGAAGTAGTTAAGGATTGTGTCTTTAATGTCACTTGGATCCTGAATGTTGTTCCCCACCTCATCTTTTGAAGACATGACCTTATTTCTCCTTCTTCTGTTAAGTGTGGATATATGAAAGAATTTAGTGTTAGCATCTCCCTCACTTAACCAACTAATTCTAGATTTAGGTTTCCAGAAATCTTCTTCACTCCTAAGGATGATAGAGAAATCTTGTTATAGCTTTGCTTCAAGCTCCTGAAGGAAGGTACTAAAAGGGTATGCGTTGGACTTATGGATGCAAGAAAGTCTAGCAAGGATGTGCCTTTTCCTATGAAAAATATTGCCAAACACATGAGTATTCCAATCAGTCACCCTATTGGTAAAAACACAGGTAGCTTTCAGGATATCAGTATTAGCTGAGAAGTTATCTTCCACAAGAGGAAGGAAGTCTGGATGGTTGCTCCACATAGCTTCAAACTTGAAAAGCTTGTTGTCCTTGGTCAGACTTTGCTGAATTAGACTTAAAAGAAGAGGACAGTGGTCAGAATGGGTCCTAGAAAGATGGGTAACAGTTGATTCAGGAAACTCCTCTATCCAGTCATCAGTAGCAAAGCACATATTAAGTCTTTCTAGGATTAGGTATTGCTTATTAGAGCATCTTTTATTAGACCAAGTATAGTTTGAGCCCTTAAAACCTAAGTTAACTAATTTGTAACTGTTCAAGCATCACCAGAATCTGTTGCTTCTATTGGTGTTCAAGGTATTACCCCCAAACTTATCCCTGGCTTTTAGAAGTTCATTGAAGTCCCCCCTCCCAACAAGCCAACTACCCCCGTAGACAGAAGCCAGATCCTCTAGTGTGTTCCATAGCTTATTTCTACTATTAATATAGTTACTAGCATATATAGCAGAAAAAAAAGCCATTTAGTGGGGGAGGGGAGTACCTTGACCATTACATGCACCCCATGTGGGGTAGTGGCTACTTCATTGAGCTTAACCAGATCATCCTTCCACATAAGGACAATCCCACTAGACTGTCCAACAGTAGGGGATTGGAATTGGGCATCAAACTTGAGCTCAACAGTGAGGTGATTGTGGTCTGCCATTCTAGTCTCAAGCAAGACTAGTATGGTAGGGTTATGGAGCTTCACCATGGATGAACACTGCCTACGGAACATGGCACTATTGACCCCCTAGCATTCCATATTATGAAACGCCCCTTTTTATTACTCCTCCTTTGCTTCCTTCCAAAAATTCTCAAGGTAGTTCCATATGCCGGATTATCAAATTCTCTTGTCTAATAATCTCCTATCTAATTCTACTATCTAATAAGAGACATTTTTTTTGTTTAAACTATCTAATAAGAGATGGCATGTCTGCTTGGGATTTAAAGGTTAATTTGGTCATTTAAAAAAATGGAACGTTATGGTCGGCTAAAAAGGAATATTACTATAGCTGTTGTATAAATTTTTTGAATATCTTGATTAAATTGTCCTTTGTTTATGTCATTGTTACTACACGGTTCTTATTGTAGCTTCGGCTGCCTTAATTTGTACTTTTCCATATAGGCCCTGTGTCCCATCCCCACGCAAATCGTTTCACCTCTGCATTTTCCAACAAGTCATATCATTGCAACTGTCACTATTTACTAATTGCATAAACTTATGTTAATCTTTTAGCTTTTTCTTCTATAATTAGTATAGAGTGAATTATCACTATATGTAAATTATATGACTAATTTTTTTGGAAAACCTTATAAATTATTTTTTAAAAATTTCTATCAAGTTTTTTGTTAAATAACTACAAGTGGTGTAAATATTTTTCAAGTAGAAAAAAATTTTATTCTACTTAATCATATTAAATTTATAATTAACTTGCTCGCTGATAAAAATAATAAGAGAACACTGCCATTTAGTTCTTCTAATTTTGTCATATCATTATGCAATAATAAACCTCCTCTTTCTGATTAAATACATTGTTGTACAATTGCTTAGATTCAATAAAGACTTAATAAATTTTATTACCTTAAAATACTTGGATAATTAACTACTAATTATTTTTCAGATAAGTTTAACACTGAACTATAATGAAAAAAAAGTGTATTACACTCTAACCAATACATGTAAAATGAGTCTAAGAAATTGATATGGATCAGCTTATTATTTGTAAATTGTAAATATTTGATTATCAAACTTATTTTAAGGGCA